GCTCTGTGCCTTACTACTGTAATGAACTAATTTCTCTAATGGGATTTAAAAGTTCCACTTACTGACATGTTTTTATTTGTGTGTGTGTGTGTGTGTGTGTGTGTGTGTGTGTGGTGACTGTGGTGACTGTGTGACTAAACTGTTTTGTTGTGATGTTGTGAATGTAATTTGATCACAGGTCTCACTTGGAACAGAAATCTTAATCTGAGTGTCACTTCCTGAATCCCTGAATCTGAGTGTTTCATGTTGAAGATGCAGAGTCAGATCTCACGTCTTTCTCTCTCAGCTTTTATCTGGAGGCCTGAGCCGAGCTGAGAGAGCAGCAGAGCCCCTCAGTTGGTCGTGATTCCCTGGAGAGGATGGATGGCAGCACTACAGTCACCAGCCGGCCAGTGACGCTATTTGGCCTGATTTTAGTGTCCTGTCCTCCTGTCCTGCCACAGCACACACACACACACACACACACACACACACACACAAAGACACTGAGAGACTGTAAATCAGCACTCCTTCAGTTAGACCGCAAAGGTTGCAGTATTTCTGCTTCCATGAACAGAAAAACAAAAACCAACACATACACACAAACACACACTGACAACCTGCTCCCTACACCATCCATAGAGGTGGTGTACACAGAGGGAGGTGACAAAGCTTGAGTGATTTGGTAGAGAGGATCTCTGTTTGTTTCTGTCAGCTGCGCACCACCACAGATTCACAGGACCCATCCTGCGCTCTCTTCTTATCTTCAGTGGATACTGCACTTTGCATGATTCACACAGAAGACAGCACCGTTATGCAACGTGCCTCGAGCCTCTCCCACCCCCAGGAAATGTTATTCAGCACCCTCGTCCACAAAAACATCAGTTGAGCAAGATATGAGCACAGCACTGCTGTTAACACTCGGCACTCGTGGTGTTTCACAGTTCATCTGTCTCTGTCACCCTAGCTTTATGAGCAATATGCCGCAAATGCATAGCCATAAATTAGCTTCTCTTCCATGTCAGATATGGTTTTATAGAGTATCAATCCAGCATGGGCAAGGTGCTTTCAAAGTCTCCTTCTCAGGCCACTGGTCCATTATTCACATTCCTCTCCAAAGCGTTTACTGAACACAGCTCAGCCTGATGGAGGAACCAGTACCCAACCTGGGACTTCCCTGACCCACAATCCTTAGGAATACTTGAGAGGGTAAGTTGTTCAGTTATTGTTCATTATTGTGTCTGCTAGGACCAAAAATGAAGCGTCTCACCATTCTTGATGGATGAATATGTTCAAAGAAACAAGGCTAGTTGCCGTTCCTCCTGGATCCTTTACTTCACCCTTTAACGTCACATTTTCCCGCCAGTCCCCTGTATAATCCCGTTCCACACTGTCCAACAGTGTTTTAGATATATCCTCTATACATTTCACCAAATATTTGGTATCTTTGGGAAGTGTGGCATCTCCACTTGACTTCAAAATAAAGGTCTGTGGTTTCGAACAGTGTTCAGCTGAACAGCACAAATGAAGGACTGACACACTTATTTTGACTTAAGTGGGTAATAAATAAAAGGTACAGAATTATTATCAGCAATGTCTTAAAATATATCAACAGCAAAAGTAGTATTGCATTACTAACACTGATGCATGAACATATTAATGTTTGTACAATTAATTTGAACTACTACTCTATAAGAATTCAATCAAGGATAATTCTGATTTAGTGATGCTTTTTCACAGAAGACATTTTGACATGTCACAGTAAAAGCACAGGTGTAAATTATATAATAATGAATTATGTCTATGCCGAAGTGTTAGTAACAATCCCTCATTGTACAGGAAAAACACACAACTACAATGAGTAAGTCAACGTTTCAGCAGGAGCTTCTCTGCAAACTGTTTACTAAAGACAGTCTGAGTAATAATTCTACTGTTAGGCTCGCTGTGAGTTTGTCTAACAGGGGGTTTGTTTACAGTTTGTCTGATCATCTGACTGCACATGTTTCCTGACCTGCTGAACTTCTTTTTAGCAACATCACCATGTTCCCAGAGCTCTGAAACTTACTTGCTGAGTGTAATATTATTATTGCTGACAGGAGTGATGACCAAATGATGATGGCTATGAAAATAACAAGATTGCTATAACCCAGAATTATCATTTTGGTCCATGTACCAAGTGATTTTCCACCTCTGCTATTAACCAAGAATAAGTCCTCTCAGTCTCCACACTGATAGTGAGACAGAAGTCCTCCAGCCGAGGTGGATCACACTTCTACAGGCAGCAGTGTTCAGGACTCGGCCGATACCAAGTATCATTCCAATACCACTGTGCTAAAAATTTCCTTTAACAGCTGTACACTATTAAACCCGTCTGCATGTGATATGCCTTCTATCATTGTTGCCTGGCATGGCTCGGGTTAGACCCTGTGTAAAACATGAACATGATTCCATAGAGTCTTCGTTTTATTATCTAATTTGACTGTCAGCCATTAATCTAGGAATAAATAACACCTCCTACACTAGTTGTCCTAACACTAGTACCACCCTCCAAAATCAAAGCCTTACACATGGTACGTAATGCCTTCTTACTGGTGGGACTTTCCAGTGTAACATGTTGCCAAATCGCAGACATTTTGCTAACGGCTAACGTTAAACTATTATCAGAAATCGGTTCTTCTTCGCCACTCTAAAACAGTAGATGCCAGTGGCTGCGCAGCACAACTTCCTGTGCAGGCTACTGCCATTTTATCTGGCTGCGAAACTATGAAGTTTAATAATAAATTATGTGGTAACAGAGCAGTGCATAGACTTGTGTACTCGCAAATACCTAATACAGTGTTGTAGCCATTATCAGAGGCATTTATCGGAACAACTCTAGTCTTGGATGAACTGTGTCAGCTCCAGCCTCTTCTACAGGAGCTCTGGCACAGTGGAACCACACAAGACTGGACTTATCAGAAAGAGGTGTTTGTGTGTGACCTGATTACAGGTGTTAATAGTAGCAAAAATAACTCGTATCAGAATCCACCAACAAACAGGAACTACTACTCTCTTTATATGACCCACAGTAATAATAAAGTCACATTTTAACAATGCAGGCTGAGAGCCAGGAACCCATTGATTTATTGTCATTTATAAAATGGTAATTTTGTTATATAGAACAAAATATCTTCATAATAATACATTTAAAGCCCAGTTTGGGGACAGGGCCGCAACATAGTGCCAGAGAGCGACAAATGAACTGCACAACCTCACATCAGATGCTACAATAGATGCGTGACAAGCAGAAGTGGCTGATGGCAGATAAGTCAGGTCTAGAATCTCAGCTGAGGCTGAGGCCAGTGTAATGGCTGAGGGGACTGAACTTATAGATATAATCTACACACCACAGGCTACTTTCCCAGCAGAACACTAAATCTGTTCTCAGAGGACAAGCTGGATTCCTGGGGACAGAAAAATGGTCACACTTTACTCCATCATCACCTCAGTAAACATGAAAGCAGTGTGGTGCACCTTATCTACTACATCTTACACAGAGGTGCACTTCCCACTGAAGCCACTCACACTCAATAACAGCACAGAGAGGTCACAGACAGGTCAAAGAGGGCAACTGAGCGATTTGTTCCATACTAATACCATTACCACCTCTTGACCAGGCATGTAAAATCCCATGTTTTATATTCTCCTGTAGTTTCTCAAGACAAAATGTCTTCCTGTGCAATTGATCATATATATTGCTCCTATAGAGGATAAGAAATATTTCAAGCCTTGACTCCATCTTTCATGACCTTAGTGGACGATGGTGCCCAGAGGGAGGATACAATATAAGATAAGCTCATGGTTACTGATAGACACCAACATTAACAACCAGGCAACTAAACAAACACTACAGTGTCAGGGTGAATTGAGCAATGGACGCTATAAAACCTGAGAAGATCTCCTCCATGGGCTCCTAGTAGCCGTAACAATATTTGATTAAGTTGGGGATTCCTTTACTGGCATATGGTTACATATCTGTAGGTTAATGTGTAGATTGGAGCTTAGGCTACATTTCTTTAACATAGTTAGTAGAGGGCACAGATAGTAACATAGTCACACCAAATTCCATTTAAGAATCTGTTAATTCTACAATTCACTGCTTCTCAGCAAGTCCGATTAGCTGATGAACTACGACTTGATGGTCGTTTGAAATCAAAAGCAGCCATTTTGTAATGCATGCCTAAAAGTATCATCAAACAGAACCTTTGTTCTAAAATATTATTATTCCTCAACACAAGCCGCTGAAACTGACCGGTTTGTGTGCAGGTCCGGTTTTGTTAGAAGCTGGTTGAACTGATATGTGGACGAATTAAAAACTTGTCATTTCCTACAAACACAATGTTGTAAGTGGATGATACATGCGCCGAATATTAATTTGCCTTGATAAAAATTAGCAAAAGCCTTCCAGTCACATCTTACTTGCTATACAGCTGTGTCAATATGCAAGGTCACTTTAAACTACCACCTTACTATTGAGGTTTGGTTTACAATCCGTCAATGAATTAATTATGTGAAAAGTTAAAAACATGACAGAAACAGGTGCTTTGACTCTCACAGTGCAGACCACAGCTTATTATTTAACACAAATGCTGAGCAGTGAGTTCACAGTGCTGGACTGGGCGCACTTGACAGCTGAGATAGGAAGCAGCGCTGAATAAACACTGACGTTTCCTGTAACGTTCACTTGAGGAGAACGTGACTATGGAGCCATGTTCATGGAAAAGGGGATACCGCAGGTCAGTCATTGAGGTCCATCCGCGAGTGAAACCAATTACACATCAAAACTACTCAAATTAAACGATTTTCAAGAGAAAAAAAAAAACATGACGAAAAGAAGAGAAATAACCATCCGCTGTTAGCAAGAACCATTCAACAAACTGAGATGGTGAGCAAAATGGCGTTTAGAAATCGTACAAAAATAAGTCTCAAATGAGTAAATTGATATTTTAGGAGAAGAAAATATAAGTATGAAGTGTACGTACGTAGAAGCTGCTGGCTTGCAGGAGAGGGGGGCTGCTGTTCCCCACTGTTTGTGCGTTGTTGCTGCTGCTCGAGAGACTCCAGTCTTGATTCAGAACTGCGCAGGCGCAAACAGAGGAGAACACGACGAGGGGGGAACCCAATGACGTCGACAAGCAGCACAGCCAATGAGCGCGACCGAGCAGTCGTGCTGCTGCGTCAACTTGTTTCCTTCACAATAGAGGCACGATGACTGAATTCAGACCCCCGAACAACAACAATTCAAGGAAACTGTTGTTTTGATGAAAGGTTGACCAGGGTTTTTGCACAGTTTTTGATTATTTAACACACCATGTGAATGTCACAAACAACAAATGTCACTATCAATCACCTATATGATTTCTGTTTGCTCTAAATAAAATCATTTCAACCTGCATGACATCAGGGTGTTATAACAAGAGACACCTTTCTTTCTTTGCAGTGAGAGGATTTCCTTTAATTACAACTATTTAATGAAAAAAGACACTTACATGCAAGAAAGATTACGAAAAGAAGCCCAGTGAATCCATCGTAAAATAGAGATAGTTATGGTGAAAACAAAAATCTAAAACTTGGGACCAACACAAACAATGCGACAGCTTGCGGCAATCAGTTCCCAGATTTGGCTGCTGCCGCCAACTGTTGCAGCTTCTGAGGGAGGGTGACAGTAGCGAACTGGACTCTGTCCTTCTTCAGTTTTTGTTTCACAGTCTGCGTCAGGCCCAGCTCCATGTACTCCTGCTGCTGTCTGGAATACTGAGGCCAGCTGACCAGACCAGGACCATCAGGAGAGCTGAGAAGATATTCAGTCATGCCAGTTACAGACATTAGGCTGGTCTATGCAGCAAAGAAAATCGTTTACAAGTTTGCTACTGATTTCATGTGGTGTCTGTTTTTTTCTTAAGCAACTTTTCATGTGATAGCCTATTAATAGCATGATAATTTTTCACACCCTGTGCATTCACAATTAATTATGACCTTATATATTTTTTGACTGCTAATGTTTCTATCAATCTGTCTTTACTTTTTCTATCTTTCATTACTCTATATGTTTATATCTGTAAATGTTTTTTCTTTGTTTCCACATGATTGCATCATACATAATGTAAAGCACATATTTATTCTTTATTTGGATACCCTTTAGCTTCCTCCACATAAAATCATTCATACACAATTTTCCAAATTTAAAATCAACTCATCATGAACTCAACATATCAGATGACTTCAACAATATATGTACAGAATTGAAATAATAATCTAATGCTGAAGATTAAAACAAACAAACATCCTGGCAGGTGGTATCATTCCTGTTTTGTGGTCTGTTATGGGAGTGATTTTTTAAATAGGTATTTGCTTCTGATTTGTTTTATGTGTTGGTAGTGAGTTCCACTGGCTGGAGCCTCTGTAAAAGTACATGACTGAGTTTTTGAGTTGATATGATTTTGGCTTTGGAAGTTCTAGATGACCTGCTGACCTGTCTAGTTTGGTGTTTGTGCATTTACCCTGTCTGTAATTAATTCTAATTGTTCTGTAAAGAAGTTCAGTTTTCTGTCTACAATTGCATTATGGACAAATGTGAGAAAGCTGGATGTTAATTTAACCTAAACAGTCAACCATGACAGACTGTGGTGCATCTTTGTGATTTGAGTTTTTTGATACATATTTCGCACTTTTGATTCTGCCTATAGTATTTTTTTCTTAATTTGTATCAACTGGTCTTCATTTGACTCTATCCTGTGAATATTTGCTGCTGCTACAACCCAGTTTGGATAGAGGCTACTGTGTTTATGAATATGTGCACATTCTGCTGAATATTGCCATCCTTCTGTGTTGTATCACAGTGTAATATTTGTCAAAGCCTGATCTTGCAAAAGGTTACTGTACCACAAAATATCAACTTTTAATGAAGCTGCCATTCTAAACAAGTCTGCCACCCTGCTAATCATTTAACCAGACTAAAGATGCATCCATTGACTTTTGGGACAGCAGAGCACAACACAGCACTGACACATTACTGTATAAAGTTGTTATGGTGAACGTGTTAGCTCATGTTAGCATATTAGTAGAGCAACATTAGCATTAATTTGAAGTCATGTTCTTGCCCACCTGACGAATATTAGCTCCATATTCTAGCTCTGTTTAGGTTTCCCTGAAATCCTGAGGAAATCTCTTTAAGCTGCTAAATGCTCCATTAGCTAGCTAGCTTTGTCTGATGTTTGGTGGTGGCCAGGTAACATACAGTTTGTTTATTAAATCTGAACTGAAAACAGAACCCTGCTGCTGGAAATGACTGTTGATGAGAGCAATGGGTCTAAAAGACACAGTAAAGTTGCGGCCATAAAACCTAAACAATGAACTGAAAGATGCTAAAAGCTCAGCAGAGCTGAGGTGAACTGTAGTCTGGTGATAAATAATAAAGGGTTCGTCACTGTAGACAACACCTTTCATGTTCCTTCATTTTTTTCTGTTGTAAATTTTAAAATGTTGATTAGTGCAGCTTTAATTGTCTTTTTTTCTCAGTGTTTACTCACCCTGTACGGGCGAAATTAGCCCAGTATGACATCATGGTCCTACAAAGTCTTTCATCGTCCTTGGTAATATTGCCTGAAGATGAGACGAGGAGTTTAATCACAAATTCAAATACTGATATTGATTAATATGCCCTCAAGTGAATGCAGTGTTTATGTGTGTCCCACCCACTCATTCTTTCATTTATTCCAACTCAATCCAGAGTTCGGGTATGAAGTGGCCAAGCCTGATATTCAGTTCATATGAGGCTACATAAGCCTCACAAGTATTCATTGAGAAAAGACAGGGGAGACCGTCTCATCCCATTTTAGGACTACAAGTATATACTATAGTGTATCACTTACCTATGATTCTTATATGTCCGTTCCAGAAACATCCACCAAACACGAAGCCGACATCATCTGCATGATCTGCCTTCACGAAGCTGGGTCTGGTGTCTTTGTGTATCTCAGCACGGTACACAAACTCATACATGTAAACTGGAATACCCGCATCTAAAGAAAGACAAGAGGTGTGTGATGAGAGATGAAGGTCAAAGGTCAAGATTAGTTTATCCTAGCAGGTAATGATTGTTGTTCACTACAGGGGTGATGCATAAAGGTGCTGCTTTTCTTACACCTGGTTGAAATGAGATTAAAGGAGCATCACTGACCCAAGTGGTATCCTGCCACCTTGACGACAGGCAGTGTCATAAGCAGGTCTCCCATGATTTCAGTGAATCCGTCTCTGATCTCCTCTGGTGTTTTAGTGTCTTTCAGGTATTCATCTGCAATGAGGTTGTTGGCAGCAGAGGCCTGGAACAAGGAGGAAGGTTGGACCATCAGACCTCTCTCTGAAGTAGTGCTGACCTCTTATCAGCCACTAACCATGTACAGTATGTGTAGAACAGATGTGCAGGACTGTCCTGTCTACTTACTTTAACTTTTACTTAAAAAAAAAAAAAGAACAGTCTCTGTATTAGTAACATCTGATGTGATGAATATGTGATTAGTGTGTTTGACTGATGTCGACCCTGCAGGTCAAAATGTTGCAGAATGAAAACTTTGGGGGCTTCTAAAATTTATTGTGCAGACAACCCTTCCTTTATCATGAACATGATAATATTATTTATATTGAAATAGATATTTTGCTAAAATATTAACTACAGTTCAGTTTTGATTGTGTGATTTTTGGTACTCAACTGGTTTTGTATGGAGACCTAACCAGAACTGATATCATGTCATATATTTTGTAGTAAATATTGTAAACTCTGCCATTGACAGTGATGTTTCCTCTCAGTCAGTCTGATAGTCACATTGACCCACACCCCATCATTAGCATACTGCTCCTCTGGAGTAAACTGTTCAGTGTTCCTACTTCTTTTACTCCAACAACTTATTTTCAATTTTAAAGATGTAGTTAACATCATCTTTGATGTTACTGAGATCATGTGATTATCAATGACCCAATACACATCTTTTATGACATAAAGTCCCCCTGAATTAACACGTGTTTATTGTTACTTCTGTTGGTTCAAGAATGATGTATGACTTTGTTTGACTCTAGAAAACAGTTTTCACTTTCATCTGCTGAACTTTGTGATTACATTGGAAGACAATCATGGTTCAATATACAGCTTACACAAATATGATGGAAACTGGAAACCTGCAGCTCACATACACTGAGAGACAGCTCGTGTTTAGCAGATAAACTTTCGACATAATCTATCTTTGTATTTTTACAGATTCTGGATTGTTTACTGAGGTAGAAGAAGAATTTTTTTTGAAGAAAACACAAAATCAGACATAAATAAATATCTAATATCTATTTTCATATGTCTTTGAACATGTCTGGAGGGGATCGGGCATGCTTGGTTGCTTGCGTGAAAAACAAATTGAAGGTTTTTATACAGAAGACCAGCCAAAGTAAAAGGGCAATCTTGGCACTTTATGAAATAATGCTGCTTTGCAGTATTTAACACTGATATTCAGCAATGGATTGACAATCCCCATTAACCCTTGTGTATTTCAACACATTTTTAATAAACAGTTTTTGTGTATTTTGTTTCGCTTGCCTCAAATAATCCCATGAAGGATAAATTTAGTATTTTTAATTGTTCTGAATGAATGATTTGAGTGTTAATCAGCCAATCAGCCATCATCATCATCATCATCATCATCATCATCATCATCATCATCATCAACATGAAGCTCACCCCTGTAGGATTGAACATGTTCACCACTGCCAGCACGGACTCTCTGTTCATACCATTCTCCCAGCCAGGAGGAGCAAAGCTCTGTGATCAACATGTCACAATGTGTCACAGTTAGTTCAAGATGAAGTATGTCTTTAAAAAAAAGAAGAAAGAAAGCCGCCTCAGTTCCTTTCAGAGGGGAGTGATTTCTGACAGAAATAACAGGAGCAGTGAAGTGAAGTTGTCACAGCAGCTGGGTAAAGTATGTTATGTCTGAATATTTGGAATGAAAGCATTGAGATCTGTGTGACCTGAGGCAGGATCCATCCGAACTCATGGTTGGTTATTCCCATTATCACCGGAACCTTCAACACCTCCTTCCTCTTGAGAAGCTCTTCTGCTGTATCAGTTAGAAACACACCGTCCACCACAGCTCCCAGGTAAATCTTCATCTAAACACAAGAC